GGAGGGTAGTCTCACTAGCACCTCCTAGAATGTATCTGATGGCTATATGGCATCAGGGAAGTTTCTTATTTTTTTCTTTTTTTTTTTTTTTTTTGAGCCACCATCTCTACTGCTGCTATACCCTATTTCAATCCTACCAGCTAGCCCCCTCACTAGTAGGACGCATGATATCCCCCCATCTCCTTCTACCGGGTTCCCGGGCTCCCGGAAAAACAGCGTAGGTACAAAAAACTTTTTGCTGAGGGTAACATCAGAATTCCTCACCGAACTGCAGATAAAAAAGAAAGTAACCAAATCACACCAAGGCACCCTGCTTTAAACCCCTTTAGCGGCGAAGTTTAGCCCTTTTAAAAATTATTTATACCCCTCTTGCCCCCCCTTTAAAGCGAACACTCAAAAAAAGAAAAGCGCCCAGATTTGGGCTCTTCTTTGAGAGCCCGAAAACCCCCCACCGCCATTTTGCTTTTTTTCTATTGGTTACACCCCCCAGCGCCATTTTGCTTTTTTCCTATTTTTTTGTAACCAATGCGCGGGTATCCCAGGCCTCAGACCCCGCCGGGCATCATGCCCGGGTGACCGGCTGGTCCAGACCGGCCGGTCATGAAAATCTTCCTAGTAAAAAAATAAATATTCGCCGTATTATTCGGTAAGTCACCCCAGCTATTGTTCAGGTGGTGTGAATAGAATGTATACAGACTGAGCAAATGATTTTATCCCTACGTCCATCAGTTCTCAAACTGCAGCGGTAATCAGAACTTGAAATGGTAGACTGCAACAGTTCTAATCTGCAACATGCAGAATGGAAATAAAAATAATAATGATAGAGCACCAATTGGAACCCTCCCTCCCCTATATCCGACGTCCTGATTGCATCAACAGAGCAGCGGTGTCTATGGTGTGCACAATGGCCCACCCCTGTACCCAGGTGATGAAGAGCAAGCCAGCCTTGTCCGTACCAGTTTTATTCTCACATACGGTGCAAGTCGGTTTCCCCGCCGGAGTATCTTTAACGACGGTCCGGTGCATGTTGATCCCCCATAAGGCTGACCTGCCCCACACCCCTCTATGCCAAGCAAGAGCTCAAAGGACAATGCAGCAGTAAGGGGTCACACAGCCAGTGCAGGTACGCAAATGACGCAAATGGGTACGCAAATCCTCCAGCCTGCCTGGCCGCGGGGGTATGCACTTTGCGTCCACCTCAAGAGGTGAGCACAAATGCATTTTTGGTTTCCCAAGACTTTACGGGAAAAAGAAGTCCAAAAAAAGTTGGATACGACGTGGAAGGCACACGAGCAGAGCATTGCTGAGGCCCCTGGCATGTAACGCCAAGGAGGGATTATGCTTGCAGCAAAAGGAGGGTGAACACGATGTAATCACAAGGCACAGAATTTGGATGTACCGAGACTACATCACGACAGTATACATCAACTGCCAAGTGCCTGTGGGGAGTGGCCATTTCACGCTTTGTTTTTCTCGGTCACATGTGCTGAATGGAGAGAAAAAAAAAAAAAAAAAAATCCCTCTTCGTGTGACTTGCACAACGTTGCGGTCGTGTCCCATATGGCACTGGCAGTTAGGTGTGACCAGCAGCAGCGGTAGCAAATGTCACAATTTTCTGTGATATTTGCGTCCAGTGTGAGTAGGTCCTCAGGTAAAAAAATGTTTGTATTGCATTGTTCTTCAACATTTATTTTTATTTCCATTTTTTATTTTTATTTTTTTGGAGAAACATAGCACTTTTCATTCCAAATGAGATCACTGGGGCCCGGGAACACACCCCTACATATCAACCCAGTACAAATTTGCTGAGGCCATTACTCAGCTTAGGCTCCTGGAAACTGGGTCCAGTGTCCCTTAGAGGAATCTCCGAAAAGAAAGAAAAAATTGCAAAGCAAATCTGTGACAGTACAGTATCCTTGCTACTCAGGGAGGCACCGGCATGTTTCTAAAATCGAAGCACTATTGGCAAAAGAACTATGACCTGGAAACCGCAACTCTCGAGAATGCAGAAGGAAATTCGCGAAAAAAATTAACAAATCAACCCTAAAATTACTTCCAAGAGCATGCTAAATTCTCAGATACACATCAACTCTAAAATTACGTCCAAGCGCGTGCTAAATTTTTAGATCGAGATATTGAAGCCAGGCTGCCAGGCGCATTAATATTGTTGACAGAAAATGGATGATTGAAAACAGCCAAGAGAGCGGCCACATATAGAGAGTCCCAAGGGAATTCAAAGAGAGGAAGAGGTGGATAACTGCGACCACAGAATATACGAGTGGGGAAGATATGAGCCAGATTTTCCAGGATGGCACAAAGTCGAGCATAGGACACTCCCGACACCACTGAAGGCATGGGTGACCTTGTGTCACTGTTCCTGCTCTTGAAGATCAGCCACTCTTAGAACGTGAACGTCACTGTGTCTCCAAACACGGTTATGGCTGGGAAATGGTTTACCCTTTTGCCCCCAGGAAACATTCCCACCGCCACTGGTGAGTCTCCCACTCCCGCCGATGGCGCCGTCGCCCATTGGTCTTCAGGGTTTTGCATACCCAGCTGAGGTCTCGTCCCTTCATCATGTTGATTTCCCAGATTCTACCCTTAGTATGTGAGTGCTGAAGATGTGAGCAGAAGTTCCCAGGATGACCACAGCTCGAGCGTAGAACACTCCCCATGCCACTCAAGGCATGGGTGACCCTGCATCACTGTTTCCTGCGCTTGAAGAGCGACCACTTTCAGAAAATAAACTTCAGTGTGTCCCGGTAGGCAGAATGTCAAGCCCTTCCTAATATCAACTAAGTGTAATCCGTGATTGACTACCTGCATACTTGGCTCTCACTCAAAATATGTCGAGTCTGAAAACAACCTTATATGTAGCCATTCGCAGGCACTGTGGCCAAAAGAGTCAAATTTAATGAGAAAAAGAAGGGATCACAAACAGAACATGAGGTAAGATGCACATAGGATGTAAGGAAGACGGAAAAAAAAAAAAAAAAAAGGATGTAAGGAAGACGGTCTGGCAGTTACATTCGAGTATCTCAGCACTCTGGGGCAATCACTCGACTATATACGCGAGCAAAAGGCCTGCTGAATTACCGAAACTAACCTAAATTGTGCCTACATGCAAACAAGATGTGCAGAAAAGGACTTACAGAAGTACTAAGTCGAAAGCATATCTAGATGCATCACAGCGCCACTCCTGATAGTGCCGGGGGGCAGGGCGCTTTATTCCCTCCTTTCGGACTGCCTTGTGTTGTAGATAGGTCAAACAAGACTTGCTGAAGCTCGTGGACATGCCGAAGCGCTGCCACCGCAGCCGCACGCTCTCCAACTGCGTCCAATTGCGCCGCTCCGCCTTCCATGCTTTTCCTAGTAAATCGAGGCAGTCGAGATGGCGTGCCATGAAAGTAACGCACACGGCCTTTGGATGGTGAGAAAGGAGCCCCCCCCTTTCCAGCTGAGGGCTTGAGGGGAGGATGGCTCCTCTGGTGGCCAGATCCTGTTAGGTATGAAGGTTGGTATGGAGGTCAGGTGCAGAGCTGCCAGGATGCCTTGGCGTAAGAGTGCAAAGGCACTCCCTAACCCACTGAGGGGCTTGGCTACGCCAGGGCACTGCACTGTCCCCATAGCTCTTACACAGCTATGGTGCCTGGCAGGGTAGGCGCCTCGTGGAGAAGATCAGCGTCCACATGCTCAAAGGTTGCATCCTACTCAGCTGCAGCCAATGACCGGCGCCGCCACAGCCGCTATAGCCTCTTCATAGCGCAGGTTTTTCGTGCAGCCCCCCTCTTTTTCTTTTGTTCTTTTTTTAGCTTTTAGAAAATAGTGAAAAATGTCTCAAATGCCACAGACTTCTAATATAACTTACTTACATATGTTGTATTCGAATACAAGATGCGTCTGTTGTATTCGAATACAACGTATCCCATTTCGGAGGTAATTCAAATAGAACGTCCGTACCTTTTTGGGGGGGAAAGAAGGTAGTTCCGCCGGCTTCCTAGGTTTCCCCCTGGCCGCCGTCTGCCGCGTTTCGGCTCCCCTGCAACCACGACGGTACCACCGCCGGCCTGGTCCAGCAGAAGTGGTTGGTGACATGCAATTATCGGTTTACCCTCGGCTGGAGTAAGACAAATTACCGGCTTACCCTTGGCCGAGGTAAGTGGCATACGAAACAAAAAAAAGTGCGAGCGCATCTTCCCGCAGAGAATGGCAAGGTGTATCCGTTTCTATGAATAGCAACGGTTGCATCTCTACCGCTAGCTGGGGAAGATGCATTCGTTCTTTTTACGTTTCGACAGTGCTGTGGGTAGGCCTAGGGTAGGTTAAAAAAAAGAGGGAAAAAAAAAAATACCGCGGCCAGTAGGGCATCGCTCGGAGGAACTCTCCCGAACCGACAATCTAGAAGGGGCGGTTGTCGACAGGACGGGGGGCGAGGTCCCACTAGCAAAGAGGATTGGATTGAACGCCTGAATCTGGCCGCGTTTGTGGACAAAAAGTGCAGAAAATCGAGATTGAACTCCTCTTCTGCATCTCTGCCTAAACCACGCCCAGATTCAGGATCTTAATCCAATCCCCTTTGCTAGTGCGACCATGCTCCGGGAGAGTGTAGTATCATCGATGGTCCACCGAATCACAACGATGTTAAATTATAGTTTTCGGGGGCCAGGTCCCACTTACACGAATTAAGCGACATTGACCGTAGATAACAAAGATCAACGGCCAGAATCTCTTAATCTGTGCAAGTGGGACCTTGCCCCGGGCCACGAAGGAGTCCAACGGGTAAGCTCACTTGTTCGATCTTTCCACGTTGTCTCTGTATTGCAGTGCGGCAGAGTGCGGCAGAGTGCGGCGCAGCCCTCCCCTTTAGGGAAATTAAAAAAAAAACAAAAAAAGAAATTGGAGATCTTCCTCTCCTTCACACACACACACACACACATAGAGAGAGAGAGATAGAGAAGCGCATTTATTTTCGGGGACGGACGTTACTCTGAGTTGAGAGTCCGGCGAGCCTGTCAGTGATTTTTCTTCCCTTCCTAGGTAGGGTTCTTCAGTGCCAGCGCGTGGAAGTGCATCGATGGTGAGCATGGTGAAGCGCGGGCGTGCGTGAGCCAGAGACGATAAAGGTGAGTTCCGCTCTCATGCGTGCGTGTGTGTGTGTGTGTGTGTGTGTGTGTGTG